TTTATGTCATGTTTAAACCTGACTCTAGCTTTCTTTCTATGCCAAGTTGGTTCCCATATTAAAGCTTTTCGGTTATCAAACCTCAAGATTTGATTACCAAATTTTCTAACCAATTCAAACTGAACAAATTTTCCTTCCCTTTCTGCCAATATCGTCTGAGTATTATATTGACTTTTACTCAATGTTATGGTTATAAGTAAATTATCCGCTTTATTGTATTTTCCAGAAGGTTGTGTCTGAATATCAATCTTTGTTATTTTTGGTAATTGAACTGAGTCAACTACAGTTACTTCTTGGTCATCAAAGTTATCCATCAGTTGTAGGTAACGTTGTGTAGAATTAGTTGGCTCAGTGGTTTCCACATTTTCTCCCAGTGTAGATTCACAATTGGGTTGTAAGCATAGTGTCTCTGTCTCTTTGAATTGTATGTCTTGATGTGTAGAGGCCTGTTCAGGATTACTCTGTTCATCTTCTATTATTCCATGTTCCATAACTTGATTCATTATTGGAGGGTCGATGTGAGGTTCCAAGGTAGCATCTTTAGGTTTTCAATAAGTTTTGAAATCTTCTGTACGTTCTAATATGTTTTTCAGTATTAAATCATAGTCAAGATGTGGATAACTTTCATCCATTTTGGTGGTAGACTAGCCTATTCCTTTATTAGAGACTGTATTTGAAAAAGATCCACAAATGTCCGCCTCCAAAGGTCTAATAGCCAGCTTCACCACCCAGCTGTCAAGTTATGTTTTCTCTTTTATTATCATATGAAAATCCAATCCCTCTTCAAATAACAGGGAGAAGTATAGTTACAATTTCGCTTTTCGCCACCAGATGTCCTCAGTGGACTATAAAGTCTTTTTTCCAAATTAATAAAGTTAAAGAGAAAAAAAAAGTTTTCTCTCTTTTTTAAAAAAGTTTTCTCTCTTTTTTAAAAAAGTTAACAAGAGAGTTATCTCCAGCATTATCAAATTGAAAAAACAAAGTAACAATGTCCCTTTTTTCTTCTTTTCCCCTAAAATCCGCCCCCCAAAGTCCAATATTAGAAAAAACAACCATAAAAAAATATATTAATCTTTTTCTTTTTAGCTCTTTTTCCTGTATAGGCAGCCGCCGCTTTCTTAGAAAAGGGAAATAGTCAGGAACTCTTTACAGGAAAAGTCAGGATAGCAAGAGAAGGAAAGGTCTCACCCGGATTCACCATGGTGGTTCTTCATGCTTATTTGTTCTTTTGACTTGCGGTTGGTGTGGCTGGCTGATCGGCCATTTTACTGGCCTATCTTCTTCTCCGTCAGCCCTCAGAGTTAGCTCGGACAGCTGGAGGAGCTGCCACTCCTCCGCAGCTGAGCACAACCTCCTCAATGGTAGTCGCACCCTCCAGGGCGACTTTCGGCCCGCATAAGGGTCTACCGGCGGAGGGAAACTAGCCGACGAGGAGACGAGTCTCTTCCTACAGCTAGAGGCACCGCAATCCGGAACCGGAAGTCTTTTAATTACTCATTTTTTGTTGCCCTTTCCTCCCTGCGTTCTTTCCTTCTTTCCATTTAAAATTTTAGTTTTATTGTAAATAAATAAAATAAAGAGTCTGATGTTCATAAAGGGGCTGCTTCATGTAAGTCAGGAAGTTTGTCCACTTACTCTACTGTAACCTCTGACTGGCAGAACTACACCCAAAGGTTTTTCACTTGTTAGCAGCTTCTTTTAACTGGAAATGCAAAGAACTGAACCTCTAAGCAACTCAGGGACAGAAGAAACTGGATTTTCCATCTCTCTGAAAAGGAAGAAAACATGGTAGTATGATAATGAAAAGGAAATATGTTATCACATAATAATTTTTCTCCCCTATAAATAATATATCTCAAAAATAATTTATTGCCCAAAATCAAGGAGAATCACAACTGAATTAATTAAATATGTATAAAATCAGAAATAGAAATAGCTTTGAACTATGAATTGAATTTTGAATTTATGTCCCTATTTGTGTACATATTTGGCCATTGCATTATGCAAAAATATATTTAATTGCTTTGCATTTGTTCATTAATGTATAGAACGATGGTTTTATGAGGGATTATGGGCAATAAGTTATTTCAAATAAATCAAATATGCTTCTCCCATGGAGAGAATCAAAGGTAATTTTTACTTTAAAGAAGTTGAGCATCAAGATTTGAATAGCAATAATTTGGCTAATGGACAATGTTTTGGGATGAGGGAACAAGGGACATGATTGCTTTTGCCTGTAAGGATGAGAATGTGACTCTCCAGTGAAGCACATCCTTTACACACTCAGTTTCTAGCATCTCTGATTTAAAAATGAATCTATAGTAAGAGAACTGGAAGAGACCTCACCTAGACTAATGGAAGTAGTAGCAAACTAGATTATAATCTCAATATGAGGCAGCTTTAAATATTCACCGAAAGGTGTGCATTTGTAAAATATAATTATACAAATACAAATTAGAACTAGTTTGATCCAGTTGTTAAGGCAACTGGTTAGAAATCATGAGACTATTTGTTCTAGTTCCATTTTAAGTATGTAAGCTGGATGGGTGATTTTGGGCCAGTCATTGTCTCAGCCCAATTCACATCACACAGTGTGGGGAAAATAGGAGGAAAGAATGTTAGTTATATTCACTGCCTTAAATTATTTATAAAAAAAACCTAAAGGCTTTAAACAATGTAAAAAAAAATCCCCTCTTTTTATATATATGCATATCATTTCCATTTGGTATTCCTTCCAAGAAACTTGCACATTCTAATGCCAGTTGACTTTATATGCATGATCTACATGGCAGGTCTTACAAGAAACAGATCCATGACTTTTGCAGGGACTGATAGTATCTGAATATCAAGGATTGGGCCAAAAGAGTCATTGAATATTTTGCATATGGCATATGCCAACACACTCTTTAATAAATTTAGCTGCGGTAATGAAGTCACTTGCTTCATCAAATTTTCTTCTTTTCTTCTTTGGGGAATGGGTGTCCTCTATTACCAAATATTGAAAGATGAAACAGGGACAGGAAAGGATGGAATGAAACATCTATCTAGCCAGCCTGCACTGTCAACTTAACATTGGCTTAAATGGTTCGTAAAACTCACAAAATGTCTTGGGTTGACCTTGGCTTAATATGCATGATATGCATTGCAGAGGATTTTAGTTCAGGCTTTCTTGAAATAGGTGTATCTTAGTCCACTTTGGATCTCAGATAAAGCTAATAGACTCTAGATCTACTGAATTCATTCAATTTGTGTTTACTATGGAGTCTTGGTGCTCTCTAACCCTGGTTATTTGCTTCTAGATCAGTGGTGGCGAACCTATGGCACGGGTGCCAGAGGCGGCACTCAGAGCCCTCTCTGTGGGCACATGCGCTGTCACCCCAGTCCTAGGCCTTCAACTGCGTTTTATAAAACCTTTTTGCTTTAGGCCTCCGCTACCTTGTGCAAAAAAAAAAAAGGTTCAATCAATCAGTCAATTTCAACTTCTCGCGGGGAAAAAAAAGATCTTGCAAAGTTGAAATTGATTGATTGAACTTTTTAGTCTCACCCAGTCTGCCGTTACCATCGCAGCCAGGCCCACCCAATGGGCTACACCCCCCAATTGGCCACACCCACCCGGCACCCAACGATGCATAAGTGGGTTTTGGGTTGCAGTTTGGGCACTAGGTCTCTAAAAGGTTTGCCATCACTGTTCTAGATAATTCATTAGATAACGTCATCATTGCTAATGATTATGAGGTTTGCTTCTTAGTTTATATAAAATAACTTGCTCTGCCAATATGGTGCAGGGAGCAAACCCCACATTCACTGGAGAACAAGCCCATATTCACTAGGACTGATGATGTTTCCTAGTCAGCTAATGAATCAACTGCAAGCATACAGCCAAGTTCAAAGAGCACCAAGAATAGTTGAATTCTGGGCTACATATTTTCTCTTTTATTGAAATTTGTGTTTAATATACAAATAATCCTCAACTTACAACTAGTCACTTACAAACTGATTCTTACTTGAAGACAAATGGCATTTCTTGCAGATGTTGCTACTTTGTCATGCTATTGTTTATAGTCAGTCTGTGCAATCTTCTTGCAACTTCTGTTTCTTTAGTTTCTTTGCAGAGGCAGCATGTAGTAGTACTAGCAGTAGTAATAGTAGTAATATTCTGCTTTCTATTATGGATGAATGAGTGGTGAGGTTAAAAGACACATTTTTTTCTGATTATGCATATTTCTGTGTGTGTGCATGCAAGTGGGTATATGTTCAGGTCAATTCTAGGCCATGCTAGAGAATTTTTTTGTTGATTTCATCCTGGTTTCACATCTTTTGCAAGAGCTAATTCCAAAAGTCTTCTGAAATAATTCATTTAATACCAGGGTCCATAAGTTAATTAACATTCTTTCTTTTTCAGAGAAAAAGAGGTGGGAGGAATTCTGGGAGTTGAAGTCCATACCTCTTAAAATAGCCAAGGTTGATAAAAAAAATTGGCATAGATTTTAGCTATCATTCTTCTTCTCCATTTGCAGCAATCAGAATATTTTGCAAATGCTCTACAGAACAGATGCCTTCCAGGCAAATAATTTCCAATATGTCTAGCAGGAGAATCAGATCACATATATTGAGAAAGACAACAACGATACTGCCAGTTAATTTAACCAGGAGCTTAATCTAAAGGACCTTTTCTTCCAAGTATGCCAGTCAATCTGATATCAACAAGGAAACTCAATAAACCACAAATATTTGTCCACAGGAAGCATTTTGGTGTACTGCATACTGCCATATAAATCATAAGATAACCTCATTTGGTTTCAGCAAGAGTCATGTGACCAAAGATATAGATGCTTCTGAAAAAGAATGGAATGTGCATACCAAACCATTTGTGTTATGCCTCCCTTATCCCATTTCTGCAGGATTATACTAAATTGTCCCAATCTTCTAAAAAAGTATATAATATGTGATGTCAATATTTTTCTATTTTTTCTATTTATTCTCTTCTTCCTTCCCTGCAGGCCCTCAGTGCAATGCCTTAGTGGATCTAATTGGGACATGTTGGCCACGCAGCCTTGCAGGACAGCTGGTAGCGCATCCCTGCCCTGAATATTTCTCTGGAGTGCGATATAATACCTCAAGTAAGCCAGCAGATGGGTTAAATAGGAGCATAAGGCAGGAAGATTGGTTCTTCCCTTGGACACATTGAAGCAAAGACTTAAGCAAATGTTAATGAAGGATGGAACCAGAATATCGGGAAGCACAGAAATGTCAATTTGTGTACTTGCATTAAGGAATGAAATCAACAGTTTGCATAAACTAGGGATGCTTTTGACATGCCTTGACAACGGACCCTGTGATTGGCAGGTAGCATGAAGCTTCTAGATTAAACATACTTGATACACAGCTAGATATTTAGGAGTTTTTGCCTTCTGTTCACTGTACTTGGAGCTGCAAGTAAAGCTTTGAATCTATATTCAGCTCCACCAACTGTTCCAAGAGATTCTGAGTTGGATAACCATAGCACAGCTTGAATTTGGACATACCTTTAACTGATTTTTCTATATTTATGAATAAACCATTGCTTCATATGTACATATTGGAAAATATTTATTTCTGAAATTCAGGATAGGTTAGAAATTATACAGAGCCTACCAGATCTGGGATGGGAGAGGTAGTCAGAAAATTTGTTCTCATGATAGGAAATCATGTTTGAACACTAGTGAAAAAGAATGGAATTCTCTCATTCTCTAAACACTGTTGAATTCAGCAAAGCTTCAACTTTTTGAACTAAGTATCACTTATAACATGGATTTAGCTAAAAAAAATCCTTTTTTATGAACTAGATTTAAATTTAGGTTTAGATTTAAAAATTGAGTGCTTATAAAAATCAAGTGCTTTCCAAAGTAAGAATTTAACAACTTCAAACTATATTAATCTGTTGTTTTAACAAGGTTGTGAGGTTATTTATTGTGGCATAAACTTTCATGCTCATGAATCCCATGTCAACTTCAATTTCTTTAAGTATTTTTTATGTCACTAATAATGAACAGGAAAAAAATGCTACGCTTCTGTTCCTTTGCTCAATGCTGAAAAGATAAACAGTAAAGAAGGTCTCAATTTTATACCTGAATCTTTTGTTGTCATTTGTAAAGATCCCAAATTTGTCCTAATAATGAATTACATTCAGCCAGGGAGTGAAGTTTTGAAACTTTGAAATGTTCTTCCTGAATTCTCTGATACAAGATTTTATCTAATGACATCAAATTAGCTGTAATTTTGATACAATATTTTTTAAGAGGATTGCTAATAAAGGCTTCATCCAGGGATTTTTTTCTCATAGAACGCCCAGAACGGAATTCCGGCACCTTTTTTGGGTGGGACCTTGTAGGGTAGGCAAGGCGGGTTGTATGACGTGTGTGAGTTCTGGCACCTTTTTTTTTTTTTTTTTTTTTTTTTACAAATAAAGCACCAGCTTCATCTAATGTCAAAGGTTATTTTCCCTGTGTCATTTCACTGGCACTGGCACATTTCACTTTCCATGTTTATTTGTTTCTTAAATTAAATTACGTGCTATGGGAGAATACTTGTAATTTTAGCCTGAATGACCTTTTTAAAAATTCATTCTGGAGAAGTGGCGAAGGAAGAGGGCTTAATCCTTGTTCGTCCATTACTTTTCCACTTTGTTCTCCACAATGATTTTCCATCTTACAGCAAAATTCAGAGCATTTGCTTGCATGCAGAATGTCACTAATATCTGTGTTTATGGAGAGAAGGGAACAAACTAAAATACGATAACTTAGAAAAAGGTGATGACTTTTACCTCCTCCTTTTTTTCTGTGTTAAAAACCTTCTTCTGAGGTGGAATTAGGTTTGGTTGAATTTTTACAAAGCAATTATTATCATATAAGCATTAGCATCACCCTAGAGTTTTCATGGTGGGTTTAGCTACCCTTCTTTCCTATTCAATACGCATACAGTCCCAGTGCCTTCATAAAAAGCTAGATCTGGGAAGAATGAAGATTATACCTGCAGTTCAAAAAGGCTTATATAACATAGAATTGAACATAGTGATTCTGCTATCAGTGCCTTCCCTTCAGGTAGACTACACTGACTTTCTGGTTTATCAATTCTCAGCTGGTCAATAAGAATTGCAACCTTGCCAGAGCTATGAATTCTCAGTAGTGAAGGGCAAAGATGCTCTTTTAATGGGAGCATACTTTTTTTCAGTACAGTTTCTTGCATATGATTGTGTTGCATGATACTAAGAAAATCCTAAATTTTGAGGCTGTGGAACAGAAAGAAATCTTTGCAAAATTTCTAGCTCAGATTATTGCAGCAAGGCAGAGAACTGGCAGGTGTTCATTGGCTTGGAAGTAGCTTACATTTTTATCTCTGGATGCCTGAATTTTGAAAAAAGAAAAGAATGCCATGCATTTTCTTTATTTTATAATTCACCCTACTCAAAAGACTATAGATGGATTAGACTTGATCGTTTAAAATTTAAAGTCACGGAAGCATGGTAATCTAAAATGGTTGCTTTTGTGAGTTGGGCAATGGTAGAGTAGAGGTAGGTAAGGATGAATTAGATGATGCATGTATAATTTGATTTTGATTTAACAAAAAGTTATGAAGATTGCAGGCTCTTTATTATGTCATCATGTTACTTACAGGGAAGGTTTTCTGGAACTCTTGGGAGCCAAAAATAAATGCTATTTTTACAAAATGTTTTCAATTTTTTCTCCAGCATTATCCCACCAGCAGTATAGTACTGGAATTCAAATATCATAAGAACAAACATTAAGGGAAATCCTTGCAGACAGATCTGTTCATAGGACACTTCTGCAATTATTGTTTTGGGTCTGAGGAGAAGTCACATTTATTACAGTCATTGTTTTGGTGATGAATCCCCACTTTAATAAAACTGAAACAGGGTCCACGAGAAACAAGAAGGATAGACCAGCCAGTTCAGATGTATACAAAGGTTTCTAGTATTTTAAGGGGAAAATACACATATACAAGGAAGATTCTCCCTTTAAAATGAAACTAAACAAAATTGTCCACTATAGAACAAATAACTTTAGCAACGCTGACATCACTTGGAAGAGAAGGGATAGTGATAGTGGAATAACCTCCTTTAGCCTAATAATACTAAAGGCAAACCTAGCTTGAACCAAGTATCAATCCCTGCAAACTGAAGCATGGAGGGCCTTTATCTCTCTGCATCTCATTTTGAGGATTAATCAAAATATGTTCTGAGTATTTAAATGTGCATTAAAAAAACTGCATTATGTATTCTTGATAGATCTCCAATGCCCCCACTTACTTTGAGGGTCTGTTTAAAGTACAGCATAACATTCTACATAAATATAAATGAACACAATAGAAATCCAATCAGACTTTGCTGCTCAGTTTAGGACAGTGGTCCTCAACCTGTAGGTCGGGACCCCATTTGGGGTCGATCGACCATTTCACGGGGGTTGCCAAGCAAGGCTGTCCGCCATTTTTTTTGTCCGCCATTTTTTTCCTCTTTTCCGGCGGGTGCCTTACCTCCCTTGGGCTGGGCCAGCTGGTGGTCGGCCTGCTCCATCTCTGCCGCTTGCCAGCTACGCCTCGGCCGGCGCAGGGGGCGGAACCACGCACGCGTGGCACTCCCAGGCAGGGAAAGTCCTCGACTTACGACCGGTTGGGTAGTCCTCAACTTACGACCGGTTTAGTCCTCGACTTACGACCGGCTTAGTCCCCGACTTACGACTGGTTTAGTCCTCGACTTACGACCGGTTTAGTCCTCGACTTACGACCGGTTGGGGTCGCGGCATTAAAAAGGTTGAGAACCACTGGTTTAGGAAGATCAAAGATTAGGAGGATTTTGCTTATGTTCCCTATTTAGGCAGAACCTTGAAACTAGAGAGTGATTAGGAGGAGGAATCACTACAAAGGTGCACATGCCCTCCTGTTGACACTGAAAAACAGCCTTTAGCCCTCATGTTCTGATTTTGGACTGGGGAGGTATGGATTTCCAGCAAACAAAGTGATCTCCTTCTTTCCAATGGCTGTTTGGGCAGAATTTAGCTAGGAGAATTGGCCCACTTCCCATGTGATCATTGGGGACTCAATTTGCTGAGGATTAGGGGAAGTATATTTACTATTGTGCTTTTTCTTTGAGCCCTGGCTGTGTCTACTCTATATTGGTTGCAAGCTGTCAGTCCTACAAGGCAGACCAGATTAAGAAACCAATTCCATGTAAGTCAAGACTACTTTTATTGTAACAACTATAGTAAGAGAATCTTGCCAATCTTGAGTGTTTTCCTCTCCCTTTATCTCTGTGTGAATGAGGGAGGGGACAATCCGAGATGTTTTCTCAAGTTACTTTCTTGAGTTGGCTCAGGTTCCTCTTATCTAACCATTGCCTTAGTGTTCTTTGTATTCTTCCCATCCTTCAAGGCCATTTGCTATGCCCTCTACACAGACCTCTCCAGACATGTGCTTTTCTTTTCACTCCACATCCACCCCTCCCAACACTCCATCCCTCCTACATTTGTCTTCCACATCCTCTCTCACGTAACATGTTTTACTGTATTTTTGCCACTTTTCAAAAGTCTTTTCTGGAATGGCTGTAGCTTATACCCACTTAACATTCTGACTGATAGCTTTGGATTGAAATGTGGGGGAGCAGCATCTATTCTTATTATGAAGCTATATTGTGGGTGGAAATCAAGTGTTTGTTTTCTCCCTTCAAGGAAGGACAGTAGCAGCAGCAGCAGCACTCCTGTCCCATTCCTCACTCACACACCCAAAGCAGCTCAATATATAGAGGCTTTAGCGTTTCACGACCCTTCCATCTCTGCCATTATTGTTTTTGAAGTGCTTGAGAAAATGCAGTGAGCCAAAAATTTATTCTGAGGGGTGAAAAAGTAACTGTTATAACATGGAAGTGGCTGGATAGTTCTTTCTTCTGGGATAGGCTTCTGATTTTCAATCAAGGTGACTGCCTAGGCTTGTTTCCTGTGGTGTCCCTTTGAAATATTAATCTGGTCTGATCCTGCTGAGTTGTTTTCAAGATCAGTGGAGGTCAGATAGGTGCTACCATCTAAAAAGAAGACATTATTTCCCCTCCCTTTCAGCTTAACCTATGAGGGGTCAAACACCTCCCCATCAGCAATCAGCACCCAGATCGGCATAGATTAACTCCAATCAGACCAGCAATCAAGTAAACAATACCCCAATCAAGAAACTGCCAATGAAGCCAACAGCAAACAGCCCAACCAAAGAATCTCTTAAGACCACCCCCACCAACACTGACAGGCAAGCCACTAGAATATAAACTGACAGCAAACTGCACTCCTTACTAGCACTGATGATGTTACCTAGTTTGGGTAATGAAATGTCTGCAACAAAGCAAGCAAATTCAGAGAGCACAAAGAATCCCTCACTTCAACCCTGAGCTACAAATATTCTCCTTTATTGGGGCTTAACCTACAGGAGAAACTACTAACAGAATAACAGAGTTGTAAAAGAACTTGGAGGTCTTCTAATCCAACTCTCTGCTCAAGCAGGAAACCCTATACCATACCCAATCTCCAGTGTTGGAGCATTCACAATTTCTGGAGGCAAGTCATTCCATTGATTAATTGTTCTAATTTTCCCTTAAGTTTAGATTGATTCTTTTCTTGATTAGTTTCCATTCATTGCTTTTTGTCCTGTCTTCAGGTGCTTTGTAGAATAGGTTGACCCCCTCTTTTTGTAGCAGCCCTCGAGATATTGGAACACTGCTATCATGTTATGCCTAGTCCTTTTCATTAAACTAGACCAGGGATAGGCAACCTTGGTTCTTTTATGACTCGTGGACTTCAACTCCCAGAATCCCTGAGTCTGGGAGTTGAAGTCCACGAGTCATAAAAGAGCCAAGGTTGCCTGCCCCTGAACTAGACATTCCCAATTCCTGCAACCGTTCTTCATAAGTTTTAACCTCCTGTCCCCTAATCATCTTTGTTGCTCTTCTCTGTATTCTTTCTAGAGTCTCAACATCTTTTTTATATTGTGGCAACCAAAATTGGATGCAATATTCCAAGTGTGGTCTTACCAAGGCATTATAAAGTGGTATTAACACTTCACATGATCTTGATTCTATTCCTTTATTAATGCAGCCTAGGACTGCATTTGGTTTTTTGGCAGCTGCAACATACTGCTAGTTTGTCCACTAGGACTCCAAGATCCTTCTCGCAGTTACTACTGTTGAGCCAGGTACACCTATTCTATATTTGTGCATTTGGTTTTTCTTGCCTAAATGTAAAACCTTACTTTTCTCTACATTGAATTTCATTTTGTTAGATAGGGCCCAGTATTCAAGTCTGTCAAGATCCTTCTGTATCTTGGATCTATCTTCTAGAGCAGGCATGTCAAACTCGCAACGTCACGTGATGTCGCACGACATATCAGAGCTTTTTTGCCATTGCTGGCAATGGGGTGGGCATGGCTCCGGAATGGTGAAACCGGCCCATGAGCCGGCAGTTTGACACCCCTGTTCTAGAGTGTCATCTGCAATTTGATGAGTTCTCCTTCTATTCCCTCATCTAAATCATTGATGAAGATATTGAAGAGTACAGCGCCTAAGACAGAACCTTGAGGTACCCCACTGCATACTTCCCTCCATATAGATTTAGTTCCATTAAGGACTACATGCTGAGTGTGATTGGTCAGCCAGCAATAAATTTGGTGATGCTGGTGATGCATGTGGTGATGTTGTCTAACCCACATTTTTCTATTTTATTAACTAGTGGATTGTGGTCAACTTTATCAAGTGCCTTACTGAAATCCAAGTAAATTATATTCACAGCATTTTGCTGATGCATTAATTTTGTCACTTTGTCAAAGAATGTAATAAGATTATGTATCACAAGAAATTCATATTAAATATAATTTCTACATCCTGAAAAATCTGGGATTTCTTCATTAGCTTTGTGGCCTCTTTTATGCCACATTTTATTATTGGATTTTCATGCTAGAAAGGAATTATGGGATTTATAAATCAATGTATTTGCAGTGTATCAAATTCAGAAGATTGGTATACACAAGCACTCCGTCTTTTATGAGATCATTCAAAGGTCAGAAGAAAACCTGTGAGCAAGAATCAAGAATGGAGCCAATAGTCCTTTCTTGATTCATTCAAATTAATTCGTTCTGTTAACTCACTCTGTTAAATCCAGTTTTGTTTGCTTGGGAATTCTTGTCACTTTTGAAAAGACCATTGATCCTGAGCCATGTTTTCCTGTGTTCCAAAGTTTGTTAAGGAGGATCAAGTAAGATATCATAATTAACTGTATATCTTAAATTAGGGATAGCATTCAAGCCTATGGCAGATATCAAATAAGAATTTGCATTTAAAGTATATAAATAATTCAGCAGTAATCCAAGACCAGACTTTTCCTATAATCTCAACAATAAAAAACCTTTTCTGTTCATGCACATCACATGTGTAGTATTAAATAATATGTTATTAAAACAACAAATGACAATCCAGTTCTGCAAACTTATAAGGTCTTCTGTTGTTGTTATATAAAGAAACCCACGTCTGAACCAAAACTTACAAAAAAGTATTTGCTATAGACCAGTTGATTCGGTTAAGAATGCCAGCGACTGTTTTGCTTGCCTAGTCAGAATATCTCATTTTATAAGACATTCTCTTTCATCATTTGTTTCATGCAATTTGCACCACTCAGTCACCACTGTGCTTTTGTTTTTCAGACAATGTGTACAGAGAATGTTTTGCAAATGGGACCTGGGCAGCCCGTGTGAATTATTCCCAGTGCCAAGAGATCCTCCATGAGGAGGTAAGGACTATTGTTTGATAACCAGATAACAGTGCAGTAATGCACTATAAAGAGGTATATAGGTAGACCTCAGTTCAGCAGCCATAATTGAGCCCAAAATTTCTATTCCTAAGTGAGACAGTTAATAAGTGAGTCTTGCCCCATTTTATGACCTTTCTTGCCACAGTTGCTAAATTAATCACTGCAGTTGTTAAATTAGTAACACAGTTGTTAAGTGAATCTGGCTTCCTCTATTAACTTTGCTTGTTAGAAGGTCACTTGACTCTTGGACACAGCAACTGCTATAAATATGAACCAGTTGCCAAGCATCTGAATTTTGAGCATGTGACCATGGGGATGCCATGACGCTCGTAAGTGTGAAAAACGGTCATAAGTCACTTTTTCAGTGCTGTTGTAACTTTGAATGTTGTAACTAAACAAACTATTGTAAGTTGAGGACTACCAGTATAAGTTTAAGTGCTATTGGTATTATTTGAAGCAAATGACACAGATCTATAATATTCTTTTATTAATACAAATATGGACAGTAGAGTTATACAGATTTCAAAAGTTGTTTGGAAAAATTGCTTTACATCTCATGCCAGCACAGCATTTTGCTGTTTATTAAAGCAGCTACAGCTGGCGAGCTTGGAAAATAAAAGAAGATATTGCTGCTTTAATGAATCAGATCATTAACTGAGGTCTTTAAAGACTTTTAAAGTAGATGCATTGTTTTTCTATTGCATATGGAAGTCTGAAAAAGACAGGCTATTGTTATGAACAGTTGAGATTCTCGGGAGTTTTCAAGGTCCAAAACACTTCATCTGAATCATTTTCAGAATGTAAATAGGTCTTAACAATCAACAGATCAAAGTAATTCATGGTTTCTGTTTATTTAATTAAACAGAAGAGAAAAAGGGAAACTAAAAAAGGTAAAACAACAACAAATGTGTGTTTGTGTGTGTGCTTGAATACAGTACATTTCACATGTAAATGCAGAGAAAAATTTTTACACTAAAAGTTCAATCAAGGATGCACTTGTTCTGTTTAATTAAACAAAGAAGGCAGTATTAGATATTCATATAGGTACATTTGGTAAGATAGTGCAGTGTAGTGGCTAGAATGCTAGACTGGGAGCAGAAAAATATATTTTCAGTTACATCTTATAGTTCTAAGAATTTGTGTTTTTAAATAAAAAATGTAACACGATTTGCAAAATTCTTTTTACATGGAATGGAAATAATTTGAGATTTAAAACAGGTCTGGGATCCCCAACGTAGAGGCTGATACACTATGCTCACAAACATTTCCTACCATGACTATCATCTTCTTTGTCTTTAGAGACTTTTTATTTTTTTAAAAAAAATAATAATTTTAAAGAATAAGTATTCTGCAAAGCAAAAAAAAAAACCCTTGTCTCCAATATTTTCCTTATTTCCAAAAATGCTTCTGAGCCCCAAATGCTCCATAATGTTTCCTAAAACATAATAATGGTGGATAGCTCAAGCATAGTATTTTGTTTGGAAGTGTGCCCACTTATTTAACATAAAAATAGAGATATGGACAGTGTTGTGTTTTCGGTTCGCAAGCAATTGACGAAGACGCATGGTGGAAACAATAGCTCTTTATTCTCCTTCTCCAACTCCAAGCAAAGAGCAAAAGGCATGCAGGCCTTTTATAGGGTCAGGAACCCAGTCAGTGCTAACCAATAGGAACGCAGCGTTTTCGCACCTTGCGCATGCACGCAAGGCTGGCGTCGCTCTGTCAGGTCCCGGGCAGCTTTTACAATGCCCGGGACCATTTGCAACCTTTCTGGGCCTGCTGAGTTTCCTCAACAGGCCCAGGACACAACACCCCTCCCCCCTAGATAGAACACACACAATTCCAATTTTCTTTACAATAATAATAAAAGAAAAGAAAATAATACTCTACTCCATACAACACCCTTCTATAACTAATAGGGTTAGCTAACCAACCACTCTCTAATGTGGGCTTTGCGTGTCTATATATTTTCCCAATGTAGGTTCATCTCCATGACCTAGACTTGTAAGGTCCCTTGTGTTGACAGGAACCTCACATAATTGCCTAGATGCTTAGGAGGGGCCTTAGCCCATTGTGACCTATGCAAGGTTAGGGAGGAGGCCTGGCTTGTCAGCTCACCTGCTCAGCTAGGCAGACTAGGACTTGTACTTAAGGGTGCCTGGCCTACCGGCCCGTCTGATAGGCTCACTAGACCAGGACTTTTATGCACATGTTTTGCAGGTGACCCATGGTGAGGCATACTGGCGAAATTGCCAGAGCTCTTTCCAGGCTCCTTTAGAGTAGCTGGAATTCCCCAACCTTCTGAATTGGCTGAGGATTCCCCAACTACCCTGGATGGCTCCAGGGAACTTAATCCCTCGAGCCTGCGACCAGTCTCGGACATGACCTGCGTTGCAGGAGTGCCCCAATAGTTCCAGTCTCCAGTGGCTGAAGTGCCAGAGTCAGGAGCCGCCTCTATGGCAAACCCCTCCTCAGGTGAATTCCTATTTGGAGCTCTTGCTGATATGCATGACTCCCTGTTCGACGCAATAGCTGAACCATGAGGATGCCCTTGCTCCACCCCTGGGAAATCCCTAGCGTCCTGCGGTAACTCCCAGGAGCAATGAGGCAGGGTCTCCAGATGTTGACCTGAAATGCGATCAGGCTCCTGGGCCCCCTCCCCCCGAGAGCGGAGGCAGGGGTGGAAACATCATGGGACAACCGCCAGTGCAGTTGATCGATGTGACGCCTCAGGACGTGGCCATCTCCCAAGGTTACTTCATATGAGAGAGGTCCAGAGATCTTACAGATGACAGCAGGGACCCAGAGGTGTCCAGGACCATAGTTCCTAGCCCAGACCGGATTGCCCACCTGAAGTCTCCTAGGTGCCCACGGCTGTGACACCTGTGAAGCCACCCGGTCAGGGTGCAGTCTATCCAACTTAGTAATGGGGCAGCGACCCCAGCACAGTTCAGCTGGGCTCTTCCCGGTGGCAGTGCATGGTGTGGTGCAATGTGCAAGAAGGAAATCTGCTAACCTGTGATGCCAGCTGTCGTATGTTAGTCTTTTGAGTGCGTCTTTGGTGGTGTGCACCATTCTCTCTGCTTGCCCGTTAGTGGAAGGATGAAAGGGAGCAGATGTTGCATGCCAGATCAGGTTGGCCTGAAGAAAAGCCTGGAACTCACAAGATGTAAATTGAGGACCATTGTCAGATACAAGCACATCTGGAAGGCCATGGGTAGCAAAAATTCCTCTTAACACCTGGATGGTCCTGACAGTAGTAGTGGCAGAGACAGGTACAACCTCTAGCCACTTGGAGTGGCTATCCACAAGGATAAGGAAGAATTGCCCCTGAAAGGGCCCAGCATAATCTAAATGTACCCGTGACCAAGGGGTGTGCGTCTCCTCCCACCTGTGTACTGGGGCCTGAGGCATTTCAGGCCGTGATTGTTGGCACACTTGGCACCCGTGCACCTGAGCTTCAATAGCTTTATCAAGCCCAGGCCACCAAAGATGACTGTGCGCAAGTGCTTTCATGTGCGCAATTCCTGGATGTCCCTCATGCAGTGAGGACAAGACCCTAGACCTCAGTGAGGCAGGAATAACTACTCTACTCCCCCATAATAGGCACCCATTAAAGGTAGACAGTGCGTTTCTCCTTTGCCAGAAACTTTGAAATGTTGCATCTGGACACGTGTCAGGCCATCCTGACAATACCCATGTCAGCACGTGTGCAAGTGTGTGATCAGTGGCAGTCTCTGCAGCCACGTCCCTTGCATTGAGGGGAGATTCAGGCACTCTTGAATAGAAAGAATATTAATGGCAGGAGCAGGGTCTGGCTCTACCTGTTTCAGAGGTAATCTGCTTAGGCCATCTGCATGGCCCATCTCTTTTCCAGGTTTGTGAACTAAAGTGTAGTCATATGCTGACAGGAAGATGGACCATCTCAGCATACGAGGAGAAATGATATGAGGTGTCTGTTTGTTGGTTGTGAACAACCCCAGCAGAGGCTTATGGTCTGTATAGACTGTGAAGTGGCGGCCATATAAGAAATCATGGAATTTCTTAATGCCAGCCACTATTGCCAAGGCTTCTCTGTCAATCTGAGCATAATTCCACTCTGCAGATGACAGAGTCCTTGAATAATAGGCCACAGGGACCTGTGTCCCATCAGCCTTCAGATGACTAAGTACTGCTCCCACTCCATAAGGAGATGCATTGCATGCGATGCAAACAGACAGTTGCTCATTGAAATGCGCTAAAACAGCATTGGAAGTGAGCAAGGCCTTAACCTCATTGAAACTCCTGTCATGGACTTTAGTCCACTGCCATGGAGCCTGCTTGTCTAAGAGCCTATGTAATGGCTCTGCCACAGCAGCCTTATGTGGGAGAAATGCATGGTAAAAATTCAAGAGTCCCAAGAAGGCTTGCAGCTCACTTTTGGACTTGGGGCTTGGGGCCTGCTGAATAGCTTGCAGTTTGTCTTCAGTAGGGTGAATGCCTTGGGCATCAATCCTGAAACCCAAGAAGTCATTTGAAGTGACTCATATCTTACATTTATCCTGCTTTAACTTAAGGCCTGCTTTGCGAAAATGAAGCAAGACAGCCCTTAATCTCTCTGCTAGATTTTGAGATGACTCCCCAGCAATGAGAACGTCATCAAAATAGGGGCAGACCCCAGGAATACCTCGAAGTGTGCTCTCCATTACACTTTGGAATATGCCAGGGGCTACATTTACCCCAAATTGCAGTCTCTTGACCTTGAAGGCCCCCCCCCCTGTGAGTTACAATAGTCTGGGCCTCTGCAGCTGCCTCATCAACAGGTAACTGTTGATAGGCCTGTGCCAAGTCAAGTTTCGCAAAGATGCGCCCCCCCCTTGAGGGAGGCCAGGATGTGGCTTACAACAGGAACTGGATAAGCGTGCTGTTGCAACGCCTTATTCAGTGTACACTTGTAATCTGCACATATAAGTATTTTCCCATTAGCCTTTAGAGGCGTTACTATGGGGGTTTCCCATGGACTAGAATCCACAGGTTCTAAGATGCCCTGCTGGAACAATTTGTCCAGCTCAGCATCTATTTTACCTTTGAGGGCAAAATGTACCCTTCTAGGCTTAACCCTGATGGGTGTGATAGTTGGGTCTAACCGTAGCGCAATGGGAGGCTCCTTATAGGATCCTAGCTCTGAACTAAACACATCTGCAAACTCCTTGCAGACTTCTACAAGGCTCAACATTTGCAAATGGTGTAGCCCAGTTACCTGGATTCCCAGAGCCTCGAACCAATCGAGTCCAATAAGACTTGTACGTTCACCCCAACTACCACCACATCTAGGAGACCTTCAAAATCCTTATGCTGCACCTTAAGGGTGGCCTCCCCCTTAACACACACCATAGAATTCTGAAAATCTGTATTAGATTTGATGGCCTGAGTTTAACTCGAAGGCCACTACTACTACAAATCCTTTTGAATGTGTTAATTGAAATAATTGAGAGAGCGGACCCAGTGTCCAACTCCATTAATAAGGGAACCCCTTGCAACCTTACGTTAATGGAAAGTTTCTTCTTAAGGGGCTTGTGTGTCCCTGTTCTTAGAATGCTCCTGCGCGATGCGCAGAAACCCACCCTGTGTTGGCTGGGGACCCTGGTACCTTTCTGAAGCAATTCTTCCCAAGGTTGGACCTTCTGGCGACCCAAACAGATGGATGTGATGTGGCCTTGCTTGCCACATGTCCGGCAAATGGTGGAGCGGAACCTGCAATCAGCTCACTTGTAGCGTCCTCCGCACCCGAAGCATTGAAGAGCTGCTGGGGTCTTGTCCGGCCATCCCTTCTGGCTCCTCTCAGCTGGCTGGTGAAGTCTGTCCACCTCCTCTTCAGGATCCGCTTCTGATCCTTCTCTAGCGTCCTCTTGATGGACAGTTGCTGTGTCTGGAGGGTTCCTGGCAAGCCGCAAGGCCTTCACAGCCCTGCCTGCTGCTTCCTCAGCTGCCACCTCTCGTAAGGCATCTTGGAAGGAAACATCTTTTTTTGCAAAAATCCTCTGTTGTAAGTCTCTGCTCCTTAAGCCGCAAATGAAGCGATCTCGCAGCCTCTCTTCCAGATCCTTGAACTCACAAGGCCTGGCCGCTTGCCTTAAGGCAGCAATAAAGTCCGCAGCAGATTCACCCGGCCTCTGGTCTCTCTGCTCGAATGCGTGCCTCCAAGCAATGACGGATAACTTTGGCTGGAAGTGTTCCTTCAGCATCTTTTTCAGATCAGCATATGTTACTGACTTGAGAGGTGCAGGGGCCACCAGCTTTTCTGCGATGTCAAAAGCTTCTTGTCCACAGGCACACAAAAGAGTTGCTGCCTTTAGGCCGTCTTCTCTTATCTGATTTACTCTGAAGTAATTCTCCACCCGTGCTACGTAGGAATTCCATCTCTCTGGGTGGGAGACATCAAAATCATTCAAGCGGCCAATCTTCGACATGGTAAACTTTACGACCTTCACCAATTGCTTCCTCTGCAAACTGATGTTTGGGAAAAGGTCTTTTAGCCGAGCTCACCCCCCAGTGATGCTGTACTGGTGGAATGGGACGCTGATGCAGACGCCATCTTCCCTCGTCAGGACTTCCTGGGTAAGTCCTTCTTCATTTCTTAAGCTTGCAAAGGATCCCATCCTCGTCGCCAGTGTTGTGTTTTCGGTTCGCAAGCAATTGACGAAGACGCATGGTGGAAACAATAGCTCTTTATTCTCCTTCTCCAACTCCAAGCAAAGAGCAAAAGGCACACAGGCCTTTTATAGGGTCAGGAACCCAGTCAGTGCTAACCAATAGGAACGCAGCATTTTCGCACCTTGCGCATGCGCACAAGGCTGGCGCTGCTCTGTCTGGTCCCGGGCAGCTTTTACAATGCCCGGGACCATTTGCAACCTTTCTGGGCCTGCTGAGTTTCCTCAACAGGCTCAGGACACAACAGACAGATAGTTGGAAACATCCTGGCCGCAGAATCTTTAGGATATGACAGGTATCATTTGGGTAACTTAGTACTTTGTAAATGATTGTGTCCATATGGCAACCACATGAGAAGCTTTTTAAGGAGAGGCTTGGCAGCGATGGGATTTTTATTTCAGGCCTTGCCTACACTGAAGTTGGCCTAGGAAATCTTTGGTGGTTTGTCGGTCATTAGGACAAGAACTAGTGGCGAGTGCAAACATTTCCTGGCTTTACAGGTTCTACATGAGGGCAGGAGGTGAAGGAAGGATGCAAGGCTTTTTTTGTTGTGTGGCCATTAACTGGAAAATCCCAGAAGGCTGTTAGTTAATTAGAATTTAACCAAGGTTCCTGGAAACATGATATATCCACTGTAACAATTAAATTTAGCTGTCCTTGGGGGTCTGGATAGAAATCACAGGAGAGGAGGATTAAGTAATTAAATTAGCCAACTGCCCTGTTGTGAGACTGGCATCCACTGTGTGAATTAGCAATTAATGTGGAGAAAAATAGCTGGCCCTTTCAAAAAAAAAAAGATTTTAGCATCTTTGATAGAAGACTGCTGCAAGTAATTCTGTTCCCCCACCTGCACACACCTTCTTTTCCATTTTTGGAAGTCTATTTAGGCCACCTTTCAGAAGGGTGAAACATCACCATGCAGCAATCTGCATTTCTGAAAAATCTCAGAGCACTTTCCTCTTCTTGTCTATGGCTTTTCTTCTGTCACTTCCTAATGCATCTTTCAGCAAAACATTGTTCTCTTTCATTGGTATGATTGCGCATAGGTAATCTTGAAGCTTCTGCTAATCAATTTCACTAGAGCTTGGGAACGATCCAGGAAAAACATCCTTCTTTCAATGATGCATAGTGAAGCTATAGAATTAATTGCCATTGAATGTGTAAGCAAGCAGATAATACTTAGAGGGCAATTGCTAATGCTGCTCCTAGTAAAAGATTGCCTGTAAAATGATTTGGACCATCAGTTGGGTAGCCGAGTCATTACACTGCTGATCTGAGCCTTTGGCAATCAGTATTGGGGTCAGAGGAAGCTTAATAAAAATCTAGCCTTAATTTATATTTTCTACTTTATTCCCACTGATGCTAAATTCTTTAATACAGTAGTTCTTGGAGGTTCCAGATTCAGATCTGGCTCATTTTCTTTGGATCTGAAGCGGGGCCCCAGCAATTTTGAAGTAAAAACTGGTGACCATATTCTAGAATCACCATGTTCTAGAATCATATTCTTGTCTTATTTCCTACACATCCTCTTGATCTCCTAAACAACTCTTATGTCTTTCCTGTTGCAGAAGAGAAGCAAATTGCATTATCACATTGCTGTTGTGATTAACTACCTTGGGCACTGCATTTCTCTGGGGGCATTGCTGGCAGCTTTTATCCTCTTCATGCGACTTCGGTGAGTATGCACGAAGGTGTAGGATCATCAGATGAAAAGATTCTCCCTTGAAACCTGACAGCTGGGATGAGATGGTGAGTGGTTTCTTTTCTCCTGCAGGAGTATCCGATGCCTACGAAATATTATCCACTGGAACCTGATCACTGCTTTCATCTTGCGGAATGCCACATGGTTTGTGGTACAACTCACCATGAATCCAGAAGTGCATGAAAGCAATGTGGTAGGTTCAAGCTGAATTTGACACAAAATTACTTTAAGGTACAGTTTGAGAAATGATAGAACCTTCAGTTTTTTGAGGTCTCGATTACTTAGATCAGTGGTGGCAAACCTATGGCACGGGTGCCAGAGGCAGCACTCGGAGTCCTCTCGTGGGCACACATGCCATTGCCCCAGCCTTGCCTCCCCCTGAGACCCCCTCACCAGCAGCCCCCCTGGAGGGGAGAGTTGCCCCCGAGCATGGCCCATGCAGAGCAGTGCAGCCAAGGACATGGCAGCCAGGCAGCATAGACAAGACTCTGCCCTCACGCCCCATCGTGCACAGTTGATACTGCAGGGTGCGGGCAGAGGGTGTGGCCACCATAGTGCTGCTGGGCAATCTGCGGCGGGCCCTGGAGATAGTGAGTGGCCCTGCGGGCAGGCGGGGTGGAGGTGAAGCAGGGGCGGGGCAGAGGTGGAGCAGGGGTGGGGCCAGTTTTTGGGCACTTGGTCTCTAAAAGGTTCGCTATCACTGACTTAGATTGTTATGAAAATCAAACCTTAAAAAGATCATAAAACTATACTGAAAAGCACTTTAAAGGACTTTAAAGATGCTACAGACAATGAAGCTTCTAATTAGCTTGATGGCAAAGGACGGATTTCTTATGCCAAATTCTAGTTTGAATCCTTGGCATTAGCTGGGAGAAATCTCTGGAGAGACAGAAACAGTGTAGCATAGCTAGCCCAGCAGTTTACTAATAATGCCTATGGTTCACATGCAGCCCTCAGAATGTGTGGAATCAATAGTTATGGTTTCGTTCTTTCTGTTTTGTGTGTGGGGAGGGATCTTAAGCAGGTTAAACTGTTGCATTAATCTTGCAGGAGCTCGATATAAACATTCTACACTTTAGGATCCTGATCTCCTCACCGAAAAATTGGCTCTGGCTGTGCCCATGTTTTGAAGTCTGGGGCATGACGTTCTTCACCACGCCTGGCAGAGCCCATACATAAATGAAAGTTGGATATCTTTGGCTTAATTCATTACAGGCTGGCTGCCTATTTTTATTTTTAAAGGCACACTTTGATAGATTGCTATGACAACATAAATGGTTGAATCAGGCAGGTTAATCTCTATACGGGGATAAGGAACCTATGGCTTTTCTGAATTTGACAGGTTGCACTTCCCTGTGTACATGATCGTTGACCTAACCTTGATGGACCTTGACGGAAGATAAAGTCAAAGAATAAATGGAGGGCTATATGTCCCTACTCCTGTTTTGTATGTTTCAGTAAGGAACCTGAGAATCATACATCAACCATCAATAATGGCCCAATCTTCTGCTGTAAATACCAGTGTTTGGTAGAGTTAAAAAAGCCAATATGGTAGTTGTGGTAGCAATCAAGACTGTTGTGGCAGTGCAGTCAAGACAGTCTTGTTGACATTTTTTTTCCTGTTCCCCTGCAAACACTACTGGCTGTCAAACTCTTAAAATTGCACTACAGTAAACATAGGGAACATGATTATTATTTTTTTTACAAATTTCAGAACATGCTGTTTGTAGGAATCTACCTAATTTTTCCTGCAAATGACTAAGAAATATATGAAGATTTTTTTCCTATTTTTAGACCCACTTAATTTTCCTACCTTTTGCCTTCTAAGATAAGCCAACACTTTATTTTAGATATTAGTACTGTTTCCCCCCATGCTTAAAACCTCACCATTTTAAATGCAGCCTGTCTTCACTCTTGGCCTGTAATTTTTGGCCAGATAATATAACTCCTTCTTATGTAGCACTGCACTCCTTTTAAATGATTGGCTCATTCATCTGAGGTTGCTGTTTCCTAGACATGACATTCTACTCAGCAATTTCTGTGGCTTACAGTAATCTTGTTACAAAACAAATTTTAGGAAAGTTGCACAATTTAAACTGTAAAAAAGCAACTCCAGCATATTAAATTTCTAGGCATATTACTGAAGATAAGCAGAATGATTGGCACCGGACAAATATAAATCTGTCAAAATTTTTATACAGAAAAATAGAATAATAAAAATAAAACTAGAATAATAAGTTGTATTATTAGTGTTTTAATGCCTGATCTCAAAGTAACAAAAAAAGAGGAGAAAGAAATGATTTTTTTTATTGTAAATGCTGGCAATTTTAACTTGGTATCTCTTTATTAGTCTGATTGGCAAAATACTGTAAGAGATGCTTTCCAAAACTGTTTAATACTGTGATTTAGTCAAATTTTTGCTAGTTTGGAGCATTAAGAAAGAACTATAATTAGAAACAAAGTAGATAGGGCTTTTTATGCCCAACATAAGCTTTCTTAATGTACTGCATTTTAGATAAGATATCCCACAATACCATGAAAATGATTGTTCAGCATAAGGAGAACATTCAATGAATTTCAACTATCGGCAGGGTTGATTATGGATAGACTTTGGTTAGATTATTCGTAAATTAAAGAAAATATGGCGCACTCCCTTCTCCAATAACAACTCTACTAGTTAGATTGAGCTGAGATACAGTGACTAGCTTGGTTGTCCCATGGACATTCATGGGTACTGGTGACCTTGATCCTTTACCACACCTTAAGCATAATGATTCTTAACTGCCTAATCAGAAGCATCCTAGAACTCCCATTAATGAATTCTGCTTGTCCTTCACACTGTAGCCATGGTGCCGTCTGGTCACAGCTGCCTACAACTATTTCCATGTCACTAACTTCTTCTGGATGTTCGGTGAGGGATGCTATCTGCACACTGCTATTGTTCTCACCTATTCAACAGACAAGCTGCGAAAGTGGATGTTCATCTGTCTTGGCTGGTGTGAGTGGCGAGGAGAAGGGTGGGAGAGGGTTGGTGCATCCGAGTAAGTTTGCTCGATGATGGGAGGCCTCTGCTGAAAAGAATTCCCTCAATGTATCCAATTGGCACAGATAGGAAGAGAACTCAACCTATCTGGCGATATCTGCTAGAACAAAGAAATATACAGGGGCATCACCATGTTATTTTTTAATTTAATCATACTTGAACTGGCATAAAAGTTGGAGGAGGGGAGGATATTCTGGAAAGCACCAACTGGGGGAAGGTGTTATAATCGTTATCACTCTTAATCACCCCTTTTGATTCAGGGGTGTCCCGAGACATTTCATGGCCTGATGTGAAGAGTAACTCTTCTGAAATAATCTGCTGCTGCCTCTTAATACCCACCATCCAGCATCCAAAACATGGTTCTGTTTGCGTAGTAGAACTTTACACACCCTACAGAATGCTTCATCTTTATTACTACTGGTATACAAATTCTGGATCCAACTTTGCCACTGCAAAAATTCAGAAATAATCTATCATATTACTTTTATTGCTGATACTGAGAAATAGAAAGAGATTCTGTGGTTGAATCATGATAATATATTGATATCCAAATGGTCTTGATCCTACTATCCTGCAGACCCTTGGGTGATACGCGAGTGTTCTAGACTTTGTAATGGGAGCCCTTGTTTCCTGGGTACAGTTGTTTTATTGTTGTGGTTTTTGCTTCTATTTGGATGCTTTTAATACTTCTGTAAGCCGCTTCAAGTGGCAAGCTGACAGCTTTATAAATTGAAGAAATAAAGCAATAAATAAATTATAAGTCCCTATTGAAATGAAGTACAACAGCTTTTTAAATGTTCAAGGAACTGCTTTGGTAACAAAATATGAATGTAAACTCAGAATCATAAATTAATCTTTGTAGTTGCCAAAAGTCAACACTAACATCACCAAGAGTCAATACTGACTTGATGGCACACAATCAATTTGCACAGATTCAGTGTATTCAGAACACCCACAAAACTGCCCCAGAACCATCTAGACCAGAGGACTCCAACCTTACTGGGCTCGCGGCCCGGAGGGAAGGAGAGCAGCTTCCAAATTGGTGCATGCATGTGCATGCACGCAAACAGGGCCACACGCACTGACACGGCACTAGCAGCCCCATTCATGCATATGGCATGTGCTGGTGCCGTGCACATGTGCAAATGGCCAGGCACCCCCACAGCGGCTAGCAGGCCATTTGTGCATGCACAAATGGGCTGCACACCTTGCCTGGTGCTAGCATTTGCGCATGTGCAAATGGGCCATGCACACCCAGCCAGCAATAGTGGCCCCGTTCATGCCCATATGCATGTGCAAATGGGGCCGTGGGTGCTAGCGTAAGTGGGGGGCATGCATGAGTGGGGGGCAGCTATTTCTGTGGTCCACTGGCCAAGAACCCGCAGCCCGGTCCCGGGCTGCATCCCAAAGGTTGGGTACCCCTGATCTAGACCAGTCTTATCATTGGGCAAAGAAAGCAAGAAGTCCTTTTTCATGCTATGAAAAAGAAACAAGCTTACTGTTCAGGTGGGGGAAATATACCACCATAAGTGCTACAGTAATTTTACTGGCTTCTGGCAGAACACATCTTGTGTTGGATCGGGTTTCCATATGCTGCTTCAGCCATGGGAGCAAAATGTCCAGGTTCAGGAAATAATGATATTTCTAGTTGTTCGTGTGGATAGAACTGGATCCTCTCATGTTCAGCCTGTTGTTGGATCTTGTGTTGATGTTATCACTAAAACCTATTTGTTCCATTCACAGGCATCCCTTTCCCCATCATTGTTGCCTGGGCCATTGGAAAACTCTACTATGACAACGAGAAGTAAGTCAATCCCACTTCCACTTTTCTGCTACTATGGTAATGACTTCCAAATCAAGCTTGTGTTGCCATACAGTGGGTGGGTGCCCTGCTGGCACCCAAGAAGCATGAATCACTTTGCAATCAAGAACGGTCTGAAATTATTTCAGAAGGTTAGGTAGGAGGGGAAAGTAGTCCTACTTACAGGCCTCACCTTATTCAATGTGGTTACCTCTTTTCTCCCACTTCTTTCTCGATGCATGAATCTGACCAAAGCAATTGGTCTATGCAAAATATAGTTTTTCCATTTTCAGATTGTCTGCAAATCAGAAGTTGCCTTGGATTGCAATGTCCAAGTAGAACGTTAGTTACTGAGGACAGAGCGTGTTTATAAATATATTAGAATGTATATGGTGCCTTTCCTCCAAGAGATGATGGTAGCTTACATGGAGTTGAGTTCTCCCATCATTTCTTCCATACAGGAACAACCCTGTGAGGTAGGCTGAGCTGACAGCAAGTTACTGCAATTTATCTAGTGAGTGTTCATGCATAAGAGTGGATTTGAATTTGATTGCCCTGGTTATAGTGCAATGTCTTAATGATTATACCACACCAGCTTCTGTTAAAAGAATTGTAATTGGTTTACAGTTAATCAGTTAAAAATACAGCATACAAAATAAAACAACAAACAGAACATTAAAACAATGCAAAGTAAATGCAGCATCAGAAACATTTAAGGAATTCCTTTTTCAAGTTGGTTAGAAAGAGGAATTTCCACAATGTGATTATTATGTTCAGATGTTGCAGGGAATATAACCTCTACTTGAAAAGATACCTTGCTCTAATAAAGCTATTTCATAGGTCTTTCTTGTTGCTACATTGAAGAAGCAGGATATGAAAAGCACTGATGTTTTTGAACTCTGATGTTGAAGAAGACTTTTGAGAATACCATGGACAGCCAAGAAAATAAACAAATGGATTGTGAAGAAATCAACCCAGGGTTTTCACTCAAGTCATGATTTAGGCTCAATTTACTATACATTTGGACACATCGCACAAAATTCTACAGTAGTTCTCATGGAAAAGTTGAAGATAACCAATATCAAGGTGGATGGACTAATGTACAGACAATAGGTGTATCAATGGAAGACCTGAAGAAATATATTATTAACAGATTATCCTGTAGAAAAACTCTCAGTGTAGTTGCTATGAGTTGATATTGACTTGATGGCACATAATAAATCGTTGCTACTTCTCACCCCAATCCATCTCACAGGTTTGCTGTGTAAATAAAGAATTATGTATCATAATATTGTTGTTCATCCATCGATTTCGATGAAGACCTTGACATCTTATGGATTATGGGCCATCAACGGTGTGTCCGTAGATGGCTGATAAGACCGATGTTAGCACGGAATGTTCTGCCACATACTGAACAGAGAAATGTGGACACTGTTGCTTCAGCATTTGCAGCTCTGGCTTTACGGAGTGCTCGCTTCTCTTGTGCCAAGATTGTCCTTCTGTGTTCATATGTCTGGCAACCCTGGTAAACCAGGGTATGCCATGTCGGTCGATCATGCGCCAAAAATTCCCAAGAGATGGTGTCGATATCCAGGGACTTGAGAGATGCTTTCAGCGTGTCTTTGTATCGCTTCTTTTGTCCCCCGTGCGATCGCTTTTCTTGAGACAGCTCACCATAGAAGAGCTGTTTAGGGATGCGATGGTCTGGCATCCTTACAATGTGGCCTGCCCAGCGCATCTGGGCTTTCATCAACAGAGTGTAAACTGATGATAGGCCTGCTCTGGAGAGGACATCTGTATCTGGTATCTTATCCTGCCACCGGATCCTCAGAATTCTGCGAAGGCAAGTCATGTGGAAGTAATTCAGTTGCCTAACGTGCCTCCTGTACACTGTCCAGGTCTCACTAGCATACATCAGGGTAGTTAGCACTGCTGCCTGGTAAACTTTAAGCTTAGTAGCAAGGCTTATTCCACGGCAGTCCCACACGTTAGTCCGCAGTCTGCCAAATGCAGAACTTGCCTTGTATCATAATATACAACATATATTAAGTCACTAATATTTTCTCCACTTCCTTCAGCTTTCAGATACATAACACAGCTGTAACTCTGCCTGTTTTGTTCCTCAGAGATATAAATGTCACAAATACTTGATACAAATAAGGTATTTGATTCTTCTAGTACTCTTTAGTACTTTACCTCTTTTAATATGGCAGTAGAGGAGAAATAGCAACATCTGTGGCATAAGTCATTTGGAAGAATAGGAAATCTACTCTCCAGATCTTTAGGACTGCATCTCTTATCACCTTCAACCTGCATGTTGATGGTAGGGGATTATAGATGTTGCAGTACAGATTTTCTAAAGATACCTGATTTCTTGCCTCTGGGGTCACTCATGTGCTTTGGCTCAAATATGTAGTTCCTTACCAATCCAAATTAGGGAAAATAATTTCATAAATCTGCATTTACTGTAGTAAAGCAAGATTCTAGTCCCATTAAAACAAATAAGCTTGAAACACTGTATTGTATTTTCCTGGTACAGGCAAGGAAGGGTCAATCTTTTCTTCACCTCAAATATCATGGCGTAAATCTAACTTCTTTTTTCCCCCTTCACTGTTAATTATACACCCTGCTGCTGCTTTTAAAAAACCTATAAGGATCTAAGCCTGGAGCTTCAATATCCCAATCTAATTCAGCCTTTATTATTAGGGCTCGCTCAGTTGGTCAAGTTTCAAGGTGCTGTGAGGTTCTTTGTGACTGTGTCTAACAAAAGTGGAATGGTTAATGAAAACCGAACACATTTTGGAAGAAAAAAAAAGTATACCATTCAGACACAGAGTAGAATTCAGCCAGAAAGGGAGTAACAGACCAGACAGACCAAGTACCTCTAATGAAACCCCAAAAGGGGAGACTCCGTTTAAACAACATTCTAATTTAACAAGAGCAGATGAGGTGTTTTCCCTGCGCCCTCAGGCCTCCATTCCCAAGGATTTGATAGTGGCAGACTTAGCAGCCTCCTGGCAAGCCTATTCCATAGTAATTAATCAAGCAGACAAACAGGATTGATTTCAGCCTGCCACCTTTTACCTTAATTGCCAGCCCTGGTTTTCATTTCCATGCTAAGTTCTAACTGAGGTCATAGCTGAAACCAGGTTACAGTCTTGTAATCAGGTAGGAGCTGCTTAAAAAGCACTCCTCATTTTTGGATAAAAGGTATGCCACTTTCTCTGCAACAGCACAGCAGATGCAGACATGGGCATTTTGAAGACACTGGCTAGCAAACTTTATCTGTTTGAGTGGTTGAGAAACTGCAGGAATAAAGGACCTGATAAGAATTGGAGGACATGGGAAAAGATGAGTTAATATTGCTCCGCCTCCTCCATACTACAGTCCAAAGAAAAAAACACAGACATTGGGAGCTAAAACCACCTTAACCCATATTTAATGATATGATTTTGACCTCAGCAGGATTTATTGGAAGTTTTGCTTATCAAAATAGGGTGGATGGTTCTATTAACCTTTTCAGTAAGAATAACCTACTCCCAGTGAAAGTAAAATGGGACAGTGTAGAATATTATACATTGGTTAGGTACCAGTGGATACCTCTCTTAGTGCTGCTATGTCCATGCCAAACAAACATCTTTATTTAGCAGAAAGTCTCTTGGTCCCATAAAGCATTCTTAGAAAATAGAAATAATACAAAAGTTTTTTGGGAAGCCTTGACATGGAGAATGAAAGTACTATTTGGAATCTTCTCTAGTTTATTTTCTGGTGCATGAGTGCTTTTTGACTGGTTACATCTCATCTCCCAGAAGGTAAACCAGAAATTGATCTCTACTTGATCACATCATCTCAGTATTTCAAATGTCCTTATTGGCTAATGGTGTACTTTATGCTCAGCAGATATTATTTTTCTTGCTGTGTACTTTACAACATGTACTTTACAATGATACAGGATGTTTTCCTGTGATTTGAAAGAGATTTAGTGGGGGAGAAGCTGCCATGCTTGAAAGGTCCAGCAGTTGGAAGTGCTTAGCTTTTAATCAAATGATTAAAGAAATATTTTATCACACATAAATATTCTGGACTATTGTAATAGCAGTGAATTTATTGGTAAGCCAGTGTCTACTGATAAATATAAAATATAAGGTAGATTTTTTTTCCTTCTTAATTTACATTTTTTTATTTGTTTTTTTATTTTACCTTGCTTATCTCAAGGCAGTGAATAGACTGTATCTTTAATTTTTCTAAAGGTTTTTTTTTTGAAGATTAAATATTGTTTTGTTACAAAAATAAAGTTATTAATTTTTTAAAAAAATATTCTGGACTATATTCTACATTCTCTCCTAGAGCAAATTATGGCTTTGGAGTAGGGCTGGCAGTATACTATGAATTAATCAAAAGTTATTTTTCTTTGCCTTGCTCTTCTGGAGAGGGGCTAATTGCTGAACCTCAAAAGGCAGGCAGCATCCAAAGAGAAAGGTTATCTTTTTAATGCTATTGGACAGATTGTAAGTATTATTTCACATAGCTGGATTTGGGTCTTGAACTCTAGCTCTGCTTCAGGTATATTTAAAGTATTATCTCAATACTTTTAGAACTTGGCAACTTTAACATGTGTGCACTTCAATTCCCAGAACCGTCCACCTGAATTCTGAAAATTGGAGTCCACATATCTTAAAAGTGCCAAGCTTGAAAAACACTGTTTTATCTGTGTTTTAATTTGCAGGTGCTGGTTTGGAAAGCGCACAGGAATTTACACTGATTACATCTATCAAGGTCCAATGATATTGGTGCTGTTGGTAAGAGTGGAAGCCCCCTCCTGTACAATGCCAAGAATTTCCTTAGGGTAACCAGAGGCAAAAGAAAAGAGCATTTCCAATACAGTAATTATGAATGAAAGAAAGAGATCTGGCAGGTAGCCCTCGAGTTACGAATATAATGGAGCCTGCCAATTACATTCATAATCTGAGAATTCATAGGAGTGAATGGCGTAACTTGAACGCCATCACTCCCTGCTTTCGCCCATGCATTCGCTAGTCAAATGTGACTGTCGTTAAGTGCACATGAGGTATCTCAGGGTGGGGAAGGCCATAGGGGGGGCCTTGTGCAGGGACAGGTCCACTGTGTCCAGTCACCAAAGGCTTCCCCCCACACCATTAAGAGACTGCATGCTCCTGTAGCGCTACCTCCTCAGAGGCCGCCAATGCCCAGGCCCTCCCAGCCACGTCCCCCCTTGTCCAGCCTTGCGGTAATGTTCTTTAGAGATCGATGAGGTGTCTTACAACTGGAACTCACGCAGCATTAATGGGTGGCAGGCTCTTCTTGTTGAAGCAGGACTTTCGGGCACGAACTTAACCGGTCACAATGGTTGATGCCCTGAAGATGTATATAACAGCTCAGGGCTGCTTTAGCAGCAGGAGTAACAGGCCCCTGAGCAATCGTTCAGAGTCTGATGAAATGGGGGGGGGTAAACCCCGGTTCCAGATGGTAATAATAACAATGACGGCCAGTATGTTATGGCAATGGCTCATCCCCCAGGGCAACTCCCCCCACAATGTCCCAGCACCTATGCCAGCAGCGATGGCCCCAGTCCAGATGCCTCCAAAGTCCACAGCAACAGTTGGCACCACCAGTCTCTCTCCTCCTGGTGCTTTTTCTCTAGGATTCTTCTTCAGGTTTCAGGATTCAAAACCACCCCCCTCCCTTACTCTTTATTATTAAAATCCGAGGCTAGAAACCCCAGCCAACTCCCTTACTTCACACTCTCGCTTGCCTCCGTCTCAGATATCCTCCCACGGAGGAAGCAATAAAACTTCACTCTATCTAGCCTCTATTTAAAATACCTGTGGTAGAAAAATAAAATAAGCTTCCAGACCTTCTCTTCTCAACTCCAACCAACCCGGCCTTCCCCTTTTCTTCCCTTTTCTATCCTTCCTCCTTCCACTCACGCCAGCCACACCCAAAGCCAACTGCAGCTGTCCCAATCTTTCCCTTCCCAGTCAAGCTCCTGCAAGCACTCTCAGGCAGTCCCCGCTACACTCCTCTTTCCAATCCTTGGGCCTTTCCACCCCACCTGTCACTGACCGCTAATTTACCTTTTGTTAAGTCCTGGGAATAATGGCGCTTGAGACGATTCATCTCTAACAAGTCTTTATTGTTTGCTCCACTCTCGAACAACCAGAGCAGAGGCACGCAGGCCTCTATTTATACCCTCTGATCCCCGGGCAAGTTCAACCAATCATGAGGCGGGCTTTTCCCGCCTTGCGCATGCGCACAAGGCCGGCACCGCTCAGTCTGGTCCCGGGCAGCTTCTGCAAATGCCCGGGACTCTTGCAACGTCCCGAGCCTGCATCTTGCAGGCTCAGGACACAACACCCCTTTCCCCTGGATGAAATAAGATTGCGCCCACATGGACGCCATCCTATAGATGGTAATACAATTAAATAATGAAATAAAGTTACTGTTACATATTCCACACCCTGACAAGGAAACTTGGTCTAGGTCACTGAGGGGGGCTGGAACAAAATGAATTTATGTTGGGCGGTCATGGAAGTCAGTCGAGAGCGATACATGGACAAGTGGAATGCATTAGCCGATCCATAAACCCTCCCGGAGAACGGGACTCACTGGAAGAGTGACCTGGAGAGTTTGTATTGTTATCCCCGTTGCTGCTTGCTCTAGGTGAAGTGCTCTGTGAATGACCAGTGACTTCAGCTTGGCTTTCCAGCCCATCTCCTGTACTTGAGCAGTCCGGGCCCTGTTGGTCGTTAAACCTGGTTGACCAGCCCTCAATGGAGTTATCTAACCCCTGTGAGTTCATTCCCGTGTTCCCTGAAGGAATGTAGAATTCCTGGCTCGTTTCTGTAGTGCTAGGGATTACGGATGCCTCCCTGTTAGCCCTGATGCGTGAGGACAACCTCCTCTGAGCCCTTTCAGCATGGGGCGTGTTCCCCCTTTGTATTGCCTGCTCTCTTGCATGTTGTGAGTTGTGAGTATGCTCCCATGTATTCTCCGTGTCTGGAGTATTGTTTGATAGGGGTGGATAATTAGTCTGCCACCGGTGGGACTCCCAGGCTGGAGTGTGTGTGGGGGTGTCTATGTACTCCCTTTCCCACGAACTGCTACCAGAAGCACCTATGGAAGTTGGGTGTTGCGTACCCGTTTCCCTTCCCACAGCCAACGTAGGCTGTTGATTTTGAATCCCAGAATGCATTTCCCATTCCTCCTCCCCCCCAGAGAAGACTGAGCGTCCCGCCTCACACGTAATTGATCGATGTGGCGGTGAAGCACACGGCCGTCTGGCAGGGACACCTCGTAAGACAGAGGCCCCGAGACTTTACAGACCACAGCCGGTACCCAAAGGTGGCCAGGCCCGTAATTCCTTGCCCAGACAGGATCACCTTCACGAAGGACCCGTGGTGGGTGTGGCTGAGACACCTGAGCAGCTACACGTTCCGGATGCAGCCTGTCCAATTTAGTCATGAGCCGACGACCCCAGCGGAGTTCGGCCGGGCACTTACCCGTGGCAGTGCACGGAGTGGTACGTTGTGCCAAAAGAAAGTCAGCCAACCTGTGATGCCAGTTGCCGTAGGTCAGCTTCTTGAGGGCGTCCTTGGTGACGCGGACCATCCGTTCAGCCAGACCGTTGGTGGAAGGATGGAAAGGAGCTGAAGCAGCATGGCGGATCATGTTGGTCCTAAGAAATCCCTGAAACTCAGTAGAAGTAAATTGAGGACCGTTATCCGACACTAGCACATCTGGCAACCCGTGTGCAGCAAAAATGTTCCTCAGCACCTGGATAGTCTTGGCGGCTGTGGTAGAAGACACAGGCACTACCTCCAGCCATTTGGAATGGCTATCAACGACAACCAGGAAGAATTGACCCTGAAAGGGCCCAGCATAATCTACATGTATTCTAGACCATGGAGTGTGTGTTTCCTCCCACCTGTGTACAGGGGCCTGGGGCATTTCAGGTCTGGACTGTTGGCAGGTATGACATCCATGTACTTGGGACTCGATGGCCCGGTCAATGC